CCTTGATCTATATAATAGGAGATAGAAGACAATATAGTTTTCAAAACTATTAGTAGACAAAGTGTGGTTTACATAGTGGGATTTACTAACTACAACAATTATAGTCTTCAAACCTATTAGCAGATAACGTAAGCTGGTTAACGATCTTAGGAGACGATAATGTTCCCACCAAATAGAGTTTGTTCAAACATAGTTTCTGTATGCGTTTTAAAAGGAGGCTATTACCCTCCCATGGTTAGTCATTAAGACTGTATTTTCTAACGTTGTTTACTTCATTTTCAGATTGACTCAACTCAATTTCTTTCTCTTCTACTTTTCATGGATATACCAGCGCTTCCGGGACCCAGGTCTTCCTCACCTCATTTCGATGCAGCGGGCACCAGGTTAGTCACCTGAATACTTTTCCCGGGGGGAGGCCACGCACAATAGCCCAGTTCTATAGCAGAATATTTCAACAACACCGATGCCATGGCTCCTACTGATATAAAAATGTTCTCCCTTAATGTCAAGGGATTGAACTCTCCCTTTAAACGCAACTTGGCATACAGGGAGCTTAAGTCCGCTAACCCGGACATAGTCTTTCTCCAGGAGACACACTTTACCCCACAAAATACATTCAAGTTTTTGCTCTCCCTATATCCTAGAGCAGGGCTCAAAATTTCAAGTCCTGAGCTACTAGCCAGGCCTTAAGAGTTACTCGCCACCAGTTGCTCCACCTGGCCCCTACCGTGCCCCGCCCTTAACTCCGCCAGGTCAGTGGTGTGACACAGAGAACAGAGATCAGTAACAATGCAGAGTGCAGAGGCCAGTGGTGTGATGCAGAGTACAGAGGCCAGCAGTGTAATGCAGAAAAAAGCAATGTATCCTCCATGTCCCAGGTGTCCTGCTTCTCCCGTGCTGTCCTTCCTGCCAGTAGCAGCTCTGCAGTCTTCCTCCCAGCCTATGGCAGCTGAGGTGGGCGGAGGAAGCTGAAGGATCCGGTGTTCTATCGAAAGCTCCAACTCATTGAGATCTCTAACTACCTCTGGTGCTCAGAAACACTGGAGCAGACAGGTTGGCCACCACAAAACATCTGAAATACGAGATAATTTAACTAGAACACAGCTTAGCCTTCGTGCCTTCTAAAACTTGGCTACGTGCACTAGTCAAAACTAGAACCCGTTTACGACACTTATTGATCCATAAAGTTGAAATGTCAATGACACACTTACGGCAAAGGTACTATGAAAGGGGTGACAA